GCTAGTTTGCTAGAGTGGAATTTCACAGGAGATAATAATATTGCTTGGATTTGATGTTGATGCATAAACAATATATAGTATGACCTTGTCTTTAGTTATACTTGTTTCGATTCTATGCGTGATAACATATTAACTTTTATAGGCTGCTGAAATTCTTGCTAAGGAAGGAATTAGTGCTGAGGTATGACTCCTGAGTTCATGTCCAGTTTTGTTCTTTTATACTATTTCTAGTATGCATAAAAAGTTCCAGCTTTTCACTTGTCATTTTTTTTCTGTAATCAGGTTATAAATCTGCGCTCGATCCGACCACTTGATAGACCCGCCATTAATGCATCTGTGAGGAAAACCAACAGACTTGTAACTGTTGAAGAAGGATTCCCACAACATGGCGTTGGCGCTGAGATCTGGTTACTTTCTTTTAACAGTCTTAGACCATAACCCATTCACACACAACTCAAACCCTCCTCCCTAACCCACCAAAAATTTGAGCTCCTTTGTTCCGTTTTCCGTTTCAGTAAAACTTACTGATTATATTTTCCTAATTTTACTAGTGCATCTGTGGTTGAGGAGAGCTTCGCGTATCTTGATGCACCAGTTGAGAGGATAACAGGTGCTGATGTTCCTATGCCATACGCAGCAAATCTTGAAAGAATGGCTGTTCCACAGGTTTGTCGTTGAAGATATCTTTAGCTCTCACCCATTGGGTTTGTTATCTTTTAATTAATCACAAATTGGTGGTTTCATTAGGTCCTTTGTAGTTTATGATTCTGTTATGGCCTATATTACATAGATTCTTCATATCTTCCCTGCCTTGATGTACTTCTGCCGAACGGATGTGCAGATGCACGGGTCATGCGGATTCTCGAAAATACATTAAATATTAGCAAAAGACTCTGCATATCGGTACCAGATATTTATACACACGTGTGCAGGATACGTACCATAAACAAGTCCATGTAACATAGTTATGGATATTGTGATTGCAAATTGGTACATATGGATATTAACTGGATGAAAAAAGAAATGATCCCAACATGGCTGAGCATTAAACTCTCTGTGTCTCTAAACATTTGTATAATGTTGAAGGGCTAGGGTCTGATGCACTCAGGCAAGAGGATGAACTGGCCGAAGGACATATTAGGATCAATTGGCCAATGCAGCATCCAAGAATAATATCTCTTGCTTGTCAATGAGGGTTACTGATAGCCAAGTTTTCAGAGGTCCAATGCTCAGGGTAGATAGGTTTTGACTATGTTGCTAAATAATGAGTGCGAGTTGTACAAAACGGTTGTCCAACAATGTTATATTGGTGTAGATGTTGGGGCCTTAGCATATACACAAGATAAAGTCAAAGAACTGCAGATGTTAAGATGAATGTGGGTTTATACAACATTGGACATGATTAAAATGACCACATCCTAGATATGTGTTAAATGGTTTGATCATATCCTACTTATACCTCTTATATGCACCAGTCCATTGGTGAAGTACTTCGACAGTTGGAAGTTTCTGAAAGAGAACGAGGCAAACCTAAAATCACATGGAGAAAATTATCTCAAAAGAGCTAATAATTTCTCAGATCAATGTGAACTTGGAATATAATCGAAGTAAAAGATCTATATAGGCAACTAGTTGGAATTAGACTATTAAAATTTAGTTGTTTTTATTACACTTAAACTAGGTCAGGTGTTTTCTAAGAACTTTCTTAGTGTTAGTCTGGTTAGGGACTTGTATGTTAGTGTAGTGATACATGTAATGATTTTGTGGATGTCTAACTTGCTTTAAAAGGCATTAGTTAGTATTAGTATCAAATTGATCCGGATAGAGCTGAATGAATACAATGATCCATATTCCCATCTTTACTAATATGATATTGAGACATCATTGACTGATTTACTGACCAAGCGAATATTGCAATATGCCTCACATTGTATCAGCCTAAGTAGAAAAAAGATAGAGAAGAGTAACAAGCCACCAGAGTTCAGTTTTATTATATGAAAGTCCATATATCATGTCCATACAAATTGCAAACAATGTGCATGAAAGTTGAAGGTACTACTTGAAACAAACAATGAATAACCGCATAGCTAATATTTCTTCCCATCTTTTAGCGGTGAATTGCATTTGAAACTTGATAACTGGTTTTTGTTTCCTTGTGAAGTATTTAAATTTTCTGACGCAGGTAGAAGACATTGTTCGCGCAGCAAAGAGGGCCTGTTACCGATCAAGTACCTAATTAGAGTTCCAATTGCTGCTGCTTAGGCTTTGGTCCAACAAGGTCTTGTTGTTCCAACTTCCAAGCATGTAACTCCTTTTTGTGGATATCGATTCTTTATCCGCCTGTGAGTGGATGCTTCTGTTTTTGCCATCTTCTGGAAAGTTTAGTTGACTGTAGAAACAGCTAAACTGTAAACTAAATTAGCAGAGGAAATCTGCCGCCATATATTTCAACATACAAGGATATAATACTTGTCGAGAATAAAATTTCTGTGATACGTTCAGGAAAACATTCTATCAGAAAATACATACGTTCTGGGAAGTATCAAAATCTAATGCAACTGTTTTTTTTCCTTCTTTGTCCAGTCGTATCTCAATTGTTGTTGTTGCTATAAATTGTTCAAGGGAACACCAACTCTACGTGGACAGACGATATAACTTTTTCACTTTTATTTATTGTTCTCGAGACGCTTTTGCTCCTTTCTCTTATTCATTCATGTATCAAAACAGGGCAAAAGAAATACGAGTTTCAAGTATAAGCCAAGTGATAATTTTTTTAAGAAACATCATTATAGACTTAAATCGAATGACAACTTTAGTATTATCAAGTCAGATTTCCAGGAAAAAAGAAAAAATACTTCAGTCAGATTTAGAACTTTTTTATATCTAAAACATTGTCATATTTTGGGTCATTCGATAGTATTTGTTTATTGATGATGAAATTGAATAAATATCTTCATTATAGATCACTTCTTTTGGGTGGTATTTACATTATATTTAGGATTGTAAATTATAAAGCAGGGCAAAATAGAGGTGACGTGGCATCATCTTATACTAGAAATGCCATTTATCTTTTTGTTGTTTTTTTGGGGCCTTTTTCTATCTTTTTCCTGCTAAAAAACTGAATCATTCAAATTAAATATCTTTGAAGGAATGCGACGGTTGCAATAGTAATGTCCAAGAAAGAATGCGAGGTTACTTTTCCCCCTTCTCATTTTGTCCAAAAACTCTAATTATTTGGTCTTTTTCTCTTCTCCTATTTATAGAAACTCTTTAAAGTTTTTCATTTAACTGATCACCAAGGGTCATATCAGTTAAGCTATACAAAAGAAAAAAAGAAACGAATGAAACCATCAATATCCATATCTTGTATCAACAAGAATTTGGAAAAGACGATGAATAATTGCCTTTTGGCGGAAGACACACTTTGAACTTTTAATATTCGATATATATACTTAGTCCGTCAAATAGATGTTTCTGATATGGCAAGACGTTTTTCTTGAAGATACTGTTTTTTTTTTGTCGTTGAATTTGTGAAAATTAATGACCAATTGATGATTGTTTACTATGCTTTAGGCATTTTGGAGTAGTTAGATTTTGAAAAGATGTTTGAAGAATACATCACCCGCTGTTCAGCGATGCAATTTATATATCTCCTATTTTTCTATGTTCTACCTATAGAATTTGGTTCATTCTCTTTCTTTTTTAATTTTCCTGTTTTGTCAATTTCTTAATAACAAGTTACGACATATGCTTTGTGGACTTGTATACTGGTTTCTTGATAGTCATGGCTTGCTTTTGAGTTTTTAGAACTGTTGAAGAACAACGAGTTTGAAGAAGTTAAATCTGGTGCCAATATTGGTAAAGTAACGTAACCTTGTAATATAAGTTTTGTGTTGGGAGCTAAAACAAACTGTAATAATACATTAGACAATGGTGACTATGGTAAAGTAGACACAAACAGACATTATAGTGAACTAATGCACTTGCTTGATTAAACATACCCATACAAGTTGTCTTTAAACTAAAAAATAGTATGTAAAAAAAAAAGTGTGAAACTTGTAACGTGAAAACTAGCATTGAGAATTGCTGAGACAAGCTCAGAACAATTAGAAAAAAGCTTATCTGTATATTTGAGTATTAATGGACATTTGGTTATCCGATACTGAGACCATTACCTTGGAGAACATAGAGAAAGAAAAATTATCAAAGACTACTGCTTTCTCAATTATGTATTTGTAGGTCCTTATGCTATCTTTTTATACTTTACTTTATGAGGTGTTCTGTCCATCACATTAATATTTTACGTTTGGGTTTATCAATTTTCTTTTTTTAATTTTGACAAGCCGTACTTTTTGTTATTTATAATAATCATATATTTAGAAAAGGTTATAGAAAACTCGATGAGATCTCGCGAATTTGCGGACAAATTTATTATTAGTTGTATATAAATTTGAAAACTTACATTCAGATAGTTTTGTGCACCCTCTAATTTACCAAATATTCGTAGTTTCGTTGAATCCATACTGAGACAGACGTTAGTACTATGTGAATACACAGCTAAATACTCTCCTACTCTAGCCCCATACACTTTCTTGTCAACATTAAGCTCGTCATACATGTCTGTCTATTGCCCTTGACAATTATAGTCGAGTTCAATACTCATGCTCAGTGCCATGGAATCAATTATAACATCTCATGAGCTCAACACTACAACTTTTAAAGGTCAAACTTTTGATGACAAAATCAAGAAATAATATATAACTCAAAATTAGGAGAAAAGTGTGTTCACTTTGATATTTTCATCTTATTGAGGGATTAAAGAAGTGCGTTAGTCATACAAGGTTGTATTAAGCTTTTCTTTATCAATAAAAGCAAATATAAATGGCTGCAACAAGATGGTTTTGTGTAAACGACAGGATTGAAATAGAAAAAAAAAATTGATCTGTGAGAAAGGAGAAAGATGCAGTGCAGTTCTATCTTAAGTATCAGGGAATAACAGGTTATTGCCAAAAATGTAATATATTAACTTTGCAGAATTAGTTTACAAAAGAAGAAAGCATGATGCAAGCTTAGGCTGAACCTGAAAATCACATTTCGCACCTGCAAATACACTTCCTATCATAAACTAATATGCAATTTGCTTGATATTGTAAAATGACATCAGAATGTTCACGAGTTGTGACGATATGTCAGACCCCAAACCATAAAAGATACCAAAACAAGGTTGCCCAAGTAACAGTATGATTGAATGAGTTTTTTTGGTCATTCAGCTTTTGATGGCAGGATATAATCTTCTACCTCCAAAACATGAGCTGCAGTATGAAAGGTGCTAGCCAGAGCACAGCTTTTCAAGTGCCATGTTTTCATCCCAACCTGTGGCTTCCAAAGTACTCCTCACTTGAGCTTCAGGAAAGCCCATTTCCACAAGCTTTTGTATCTGTGGCATTCAAATTACGTATTCAGTAGCATATTTGGATGCTGTAGGTAGATCTTGAAAGGACCAGCAGAAAATGCAAGATGTACCCAAGACTAAGTAGCGGGAGGAAATTAAAAACAAAAAGGAAAGCAAAAGCATGTAAAATTGCACACCTTCTCCTCGGTGCCAAGTGTTTTTGCAAAAGTTTCAGTCCAGTAACGAGCTGTGCCAACAAAGGTCTGATGGTCTCTGAGATACTGCAACAAGAAACAGATTGACCATTCCGAAAAAAAAAATTGGTCGGGAAGAGGGTGCGAGACACAAAACAAGGTCAGCAACGTGAAAACTAAGCAAACATACAAGATTTATGATGCGGTAGGGGGTGCAGGAGGGGGATTATTACTGAATATATGAAGCACCTGTTGTGCAACAACTGCATCTTGTGGA